GTCCTTTGTTTATCCTTTGTCAGATTTATCCCAAGTGTTTCATGTGCTTTAATGTTGTGTTATTAACTATAAAATTTCAGCCGGGCATGACGTTGGGAGTTCGAGACCAGCCTGACCAACATGGAGAAACCCTGTCTCTACTAAAAATACAAAATTAGCCGGACGTGGTGGCACATGTTTGTAAAACCAGCTATTCAGGGAGCTGAGGCAGCAGAATCGCTTGAACCCAGAAGGCAGAGGTTGCAGTGAGCCGAGATCGTGCCATTGCACTCTAGCCTGGCCGACAGGAGTGAAACTCCATCTCCAATAAAAAAAATTTTTTTTGGCCGGGCGCGGTGGCTCAAGCCTGTAATCCCAGCACTTTGGGAGGCCGAGGCGGGTGGATCACGAGGTCAAGAGATCGAGACCATCCTGGTCAACACAGTGAAACCCCGTCTCTACTAAAAATACAAAAAATTAGCTGGGCACAATGGCACGTGCCTGTAATCCCAGCTATTCAGGAGGCGGAGGCAGGAGAATTGCCTGAACCCAGGAGGCGGAGGTTGCGGTGAGCCGAGATCGCGCCATTGCACTCCAGCCTTGGCAACAAGAGTGAAACTCCGTCTCAAAAAAAAAAAATTTTTTTTAAATCAGTTTTATGTTCTTTGAATCAGTGTCTAACAGTGCCATATTATTTTTTGTTTTAAAAGTCACCTCTTAGAAGAAGGTTTTTCTTGGAGGTCAGTTTAAACCTCTGATCTATTCCAGTGCCTTGGAGCAGCTGCTGGGATCCCAGATGAGCGTGTGTGTGTGTGTACGGTGCACACGCGCTCACTCGGGACCTTCAGTCCAGGCTCCTACTTGTCCTCCCTTTTGGTGGTTTATCACAAACAAATATCCTCAAAATATTCCACTGCTGTCAAATCTAACAAAATTATTGATATAGCAGCTTTGGGACTGCCACTTTCCAAAGACAATAAATCACTTACAATGTCATGGCCTAAATAAAATAGATTGCTTACTCACTGCATACACATAAATCTAGGTCGCCCAGGTGCAGTGTCTCATGCCTGTTATCCCAGCACTTTGGGAGGCTGAGGTGGGCAAATCACTTGAGGCCAGGAGTTTGAGACCATCCTGCCTAATATGGCAAAATCCTGCCTCTACTAAAAATAGAAAAAAAGTTAGCTGGGTGTGGTAGTTAGTATCTGTAGTCCCAGCTTGGGAGGCTGAGGCACAAGAATCCCCTGGACCCAGGAGGGGGAGGTTGCAATCAGCTGCGAATACGCCACTGCACTCCAGCCTGAGCAACAGAGAGAGTCTGTCTCAAAATAAATGAACAAATAAATAAATCTAAGCTATTGATTCCTTCAGGTTTCACTTAATGAGCCATGCAAGAGGATCATATTTTAAATGAATTGTAATTTGAGTTATTCACATGGTTTTAAAAACACACTATTGTTGCATACAAACAATCTGCATAGGATGTCTCCTTTTGCCTGGGTAAGACATAAGCTCTTTACTTTGGAATTAGCAGAAGAATTCTTTGGCACAAGGTAGAGGACATTTGTTATTATTGAAGTGAAAGGCTCCCAAAGGCCAGCGCTGCAGGTAGGCTGTGTGCAGTACCATGAACTGCCCTAGTTAACAGCTTGTATACATAGGAAAGACACTAAAAATCAGCAGAAAAATGGGCCCAGTATAATTCCCAGAAAGTACACAAGTAACTTTAAAAATCATTAAAAATGGTCAGCTGGGCCGAGCATGGTGGCTGTAAGGCCAGCCCTTTGAGAGGCTGAGGTGGGAGGATCACTTGAGCCCAGGAGGTCAACACCAGCAAACATGGTGAAACCCTGTCTCTACAAAAAATATAAAGATTAGCTGGGCATGGTGGTACACACCTGTAGTCCTAGCCAGTTGAGAGGCTGAGGCAGAAGAATTGTTTAAGCCTAGGAGGTCAAGGCTGCAGTGAATCATGATTGTGTCACTGGGTAACAGAGCGAGACCTTATCTCAAAAAACCAAAAATGAAATATAAATAACATACAAATGGTCAGCCGAAGTGATAATCCAGAACTGCAGGCTGAAACAACAGGAAACAGCACTCAGCATTCCAATGAATGATAATACGTCTGGGAGAGTGGATTCGGTTTTCATACACGGCAGGACGGGGGTAAATCAGCACAAATGGGAGAAACACTTTGGAAATCCTTAAAATCCATAACCTTTGATCTAGAAATTCCCCTTCTAGGAATCTATTTTAAGGAAAGTTTTAAGCAATAGAAAATTTTATATTAAAAAAGACCATCAAGTTATTTATAATAGCAAATATAACTGAAGACAACTTTAGGAAATTGGATAAAGAGGTTACAGTCCTATATATCTATATACTCAAATATGATGCAGCTGTTTTTTTTTTTCTCACCTGGCAACTTTCATTTAAGATACAGCTGTTTTAAGTGACGTCCTTGAGCCATGTTGCTTTTGACACAAACTCTTTCGAAACTTAGTTCTCCAGCTTTCCGACATCTACCTGATACCTAGATTTCCCGCCTGTGGGTGTACCGTGATCAGTTCAGACTTTCTCTGCTGCAGACAACATTTAGGGTATTTCCAAGGTTTTTTCCCTTCTAAACAGCACTCAAGCAAGCATTTATGTGGACATTCAGATGTACACTAAAGACCAGGAAACATCTTGAAAGACAGCTGCAAAGTAATTCTGGCCTGGGGACCTCGTTGAGAGCAGCTGGGTCCCCACGTCAGTCCCTCAAGCCCGCTGAGAGCCACCGCCACACAGGGCCTTCCAGAACTGGAAGCAATGCTCACAGCCACGTTCATTATCACAACTCCCAGGACTTCAAATTTGTATCAGAATGTTCATGTTTATCTTCCCTAAAGTCTCCACAAACAAATCCAGAAGCGGCTCAGGGACAAGCTGATTTGCTCCTGGGAAGAGAAATCCCTCCCAGGCATGTGCAGGCAGGCTTGCCACGGGGGACAAGGAGCAAACAGAAGTTTTGTCCAGGAGTAGAGTAACGAACACCCAGGCCTAGTTGAAGATGCAGAGGAAAACAGACAGTAGACAAGATGACACAGCGTGGGCCCGGGCGGGACAGCACAGTGACAGCCTCTTAGCCCTGCGTGTACTTTTGGTTGGTGTGTTTCTCATTGGAGCCAGTTGTTCTTCTGCACCCTCCACCACTGTCACTAATCCAGACCAGGAGGGCCAAGGAGGGAGGTGACAGCAGTGAGGGAGCTGGCTGTGTTTGGCTGTGTTCTTATTTTGTTTTGACACATAGTCTCACTCTGTGCCCAGGCTGGAGTGCAGTGGTGCCATCTCGGCTCACTGCAACCTCTGCCTCCTGGGTTCAAGTGATTCTCCTGTCTCAGCCTCCCAAGTAGCTGGGATTACAGGCACACGCCACCACATCTGGCTAATTTTTTTTTTTAAGACTCAGTCTTGCTCTTGCCTGCCAGGCTGGAGTGTAATGGTGCGATCTCAGCTCACTGAAACTTCCCCCTCCTGGCTTCAAGCGATTCTCCTGCCTCAGCCTCCTGAGTAGCTGGGATTACAGGTGTGAGCCACTGCACCCGGCCTAATTTTTGTGTTTTTAGTAGATGGGATTTCACCAACTTGGCCAGGCTGGCCTCCAACTCCTGGCCTCAAGTAATCCGTCCACCTTGGCCGCCCAAAGTGCTGGGGATGCCCAGCCGGTTTTGTTTTGTTCTGTGTTGACAGCAGAACTGATGTTACAACAGGAACCTGAAGAGGCAACTCTGTTAGTTACACTCTGGGGGCAAGTAATAACACCAGCTCAGTAAGAGACAGCCTGGAGGCCGGGCATGGTGGCTCATGCCTATAATCCAAGCACTTTGGAGTCCAAGGTGGGCAGATCACCTGAGGTCGGGAGTTCAAGACCAGCCTGATCAACAGGGTGAAACCCTGTCTTTAAAAGAAAAAAGAGAGACAGCCTGGAATCTGCTCACTAGCTTGGAGGCAGGAGGTGGGTGAGAGCTTAGCATGAGGACAGCTGGCTCCTCCTTACCTGTGAGAGTCTTGTGAGCCTATTACGGGGTCTTCAAGCTTCATCAGATAGAAAGGGGGCAGTTTGACTGGAAGGGGCGCTCTGTGGGTTGGGGATACAGCAAGCTCTAGGTCTTCCAGACCTCTCCGCATGGCCCTGTCCAAGCCATAGGACCCCGCGGAATCTTCCTGATGGGAGTGCTAGTGTTGACAGAATAACACTGCACAGCCTGTTACAGGTTGTAAACAGTAGGCAGGACCCAGCGCTGCACAGACCAGGCACCATGCGGCCACTGTTGGAGATTCCCATTCAGTAGAGTCAGAAACTCCCCAGTTCTCTGAAAACACCTTAAGCCAAAATTTAAGACTTATTGTCTCCAGTGTATTTTTTTTTTTTGAGAAGGCGTTTCACTCTTGTCACCCAGGCTGGAGTGCAATGGCACGATCTCGGCTCACTCCAACCTCCACCTCCCAGGTTCAAGTGATTCTTCTGCCTCAGCCTCTCAAGTAGTTGGGATTACAGGCATGTGCCACCCTGCCCAGATAATTTTGTATTTTTAATAGAGACAGGGTTTCATCACATTGGTCAGGCTAGTCTTGAACTCATGATCTCAGGTTATCCCCCCCACCTCAGCCTCCTAAAGTGCTGGGATTATAAGCATGAGCCACTGCACTTGACTGTAGTTTTTTTTTGAGACAGTCTCTCTCTGTGCCCGGGAGTGCAGTGGTGTGATCTCGGCTCACTGCAACCCCTGCCTCCCGGGTTCAAGCAATTCTCCTGTCTCAGGCACCCGAGTAGCTGGGATTCCAGACATCTGTCACCACACCCAGCTAATTTTTATATTTTTAGTAGAGATGGAGTTTCACCATGTTGGCCAGGCTGGTCTCAAACTCCTGACCTCAAGTGATCCGCCTGCCTTGTCTTCCCAAAGTGCTGGGATTACAGGCATGAGCCACTGTACCTGGCCTCCAGCGTATTTATTTATTTATTTTTCCAAGATCAGGTCCAGGATAATATGCCAACGTCGTAACAAAGCCAGAGTGTGGCACATCCCACACATGCGCGTGAACACCCAATCACTGTGTTCGGGAGCTTCAGGACCTCCAATGTACTTAAAAGCAGCCAGACAACCCAGCAAGTTTGACCTTCTTGCTTCCATCATATTCCATGGCTGTAGCCGTTCACTGCCCACAAAGCCTTGCCTTCGATGGGTGTGACAGTCCAGGTAACAACAAAGCCCTCACGGAAGTAACAGTTTTGCCCCGGCTGCACCCCCTTCCACGCAAAACGCATTCTCTCTGTCGTCAGACCCGCTCATTGCAGATAATAAACTTCAGATCCCGCTTTGCCTGAAGGTCTGTTGCTGGGCACCACTCCTGGTACCAATGTGTAAGGGTCAGGATTTTTAGTTACCAAAAACAAAAACTCAAAACAGAATTCACCATGGCTAATTTGAGCAGAAAAAGACAGACACACAAAGGATTTGCTAAAGACCTCAGGTAACTTGTGGGCACAACCCTCCTCGAGAGGGGTCAGAGGAAAGGTGTTGAGGCTGAGCTTCCTGCGGCCACCCTCAAGGCCACACCACAGCCACAGCCACAGCCTCTCCTGAGACCTGAACCTGGGAGCCTGACTTTCCTGCAAGCATAGCTGAACCCCACATGCGTCCTCAGGGACTCACTCTTGCCACTGCTGCCATTCCCAGGAGCCAGGTGTCACTGCCACCACCAGCACCAGCAGAGCAGGATCCACGCATAGAGCCTCTCCCATCAACCAGTTCCTGTCATGCCAAAGCTTACACAGGTGCATCTGAGGGGTGTGAGCTGGGAAGCCTGCCCACGTCTCCTGGCAGAGAAGCTAGGAATCGGAGTTCACACTTTTTTTTTTTTTTTTTTTTTTGAGGAGTCTTGTTGTCGCCCAGGCTGGAGTGGAGTGGTACAATCTCGGCTCACTGCAACCTCTGCCTCCTGGGTTCAAGCAATTCTCCTGCCTTAGCCTCCCAAGTAGCTGGGATTACAGGCACCTGCCACCATGCCTAGCGCATGTTTATATTTCTAGTAGAGACAGGGTTTCACCATGTTGGCCAGGTTGGTCTTGAACTCCTGACCTCGGGTGATCCGCCCACCTCGGCCTCCCAAAGGGCTGGGATTACAGGTGTGAGCCACTGTGCCCAGTCCTGAATTCACACTTCTTGGTAAGGCTGACATAGTCGATAACATGGAAATTTAACTGAAGAAAGGCACCCAGAGGATGATGAGAAACCTCACATGTGACAAATACCTACCGGCGTGATAGAGCTGAAATGGTCACATTAGTCTACTGGGTCTAGTTGTGCCAGGTCTTGCCATCCTTCAGAAAATAGCATGTGGGAGGGAGATACCTAAGGGGTTGGGCGTCTTCAAGCAGTGCATTGTGAGAGTTCTGTGTCTGAGACAATTAATCTGTACCTGAGAATTCCTACCTAGCGCATCTCAAAGTCCCAGAGTTCTAATACTATATATTTCTTTTCATGTAAATACATGATACTGAAGCTGGGTGTGGTGGCTCACACCTGTAATCCTAGCACTTTGGGAGTCTGAGGTGGGAGAATCACCTGAGATCAGGTGTTCAAGACCAGCCTGGCCAACATGGTGAAACCCTGTCTCTAATAAAAATACAAAAATTAGCCGGGCATGGTGGCACATGCCTGTAATCCCAGTTACTCGGGAGGCTGAGGCAGAAGGATCACTTGAATCCAGGTGGCAGAGCTTGCAGTGAGCCAAGATCGTGCCATTGTACTCCAGCCTGTGCGGCAAGAGCGAGAGGAAAGACGGGAAGGGGGAGGGGAAGGGGAGGAGAAAGAAGAGGGGGAGGGGAAGGGGAAGGAGAGGGGGAGGGAAGGAGGGGGGAAGGAAAAGAAAAGAAAGAAAAGCAAACCAACTTGTCCATTATTAGCATCACCTTCATGGAGCATTTAGTTATGGGCGTTTCCGTCAATGGGGCATCCGAGGTCGTGAGAATGATGGAGGAAAAACCTGGAACACTGAGCCAGGAAGTTTCCTGAGACCCACAGCCGGGATTCCAATTGTAGGTGCGTGCCACCATACCCAGCTAATTATGCATCTTTTTGGTAGAGACAGGGATTTCATCATGTTGGCCAGGCTGGTCTCGAACTCCTGACCTCATGATCTGCCCGCCTCAGCCTCTGAAAGTGCTGGGATTACAGGCGTGAGCCACTGTGCCGGCCTTCATTTCCTACTTTTCTCTCACATTATACAATTTTTTTTCTAAACTTAGGTCAGAAGAGAATTTAAATATTATCCAACCTAATTTCATTTTAAGGATAAGGAAACAGGCAAGGTGCACCTGTAGTCCCAGCACTTTGGGTGGCCGAGGTGGGTGGATCACTTGAGGCCAGAAGTTAGAGACCAGCCTGGTCAATAATGGCAAAAATCTGTCTCTCCTAAAAATAAAAAAAAACTAGCCAGGTGTGGTGGCAGGCACCTGTAATCCCAGCTACTCGGGAAGCTGAGGCCTCTCCTGTTGGAGAATTGCTTGAACCCAGAAGACAAAGGTTGCAGTAACCTGAGATTGCACCACTGCACTCCAGCCTGGGCAACAAGCAAGACTCTGTCTCAAAAAGAAAAAGTTTCACTCTTTGAGAAGGACACAGTTGAAGGTTGGTGAGCAGCTCGAATCCGCCTGCTCCTGCTCCCCACTCACCGCTGTTCGCTCTTGCCCAGGAACAAGTCGGTCAGGAAGCCCCACAGCAGCCGTGGCTTTTAAAGATACCGGAAGAACACCCATGGAGCCAAGGTGGAAATTCACCGAATTCATATCACTCTAATGAGCCACAAGGTAAAATCCCTGGAGAAGGTGTGTGCCAACTTATCAGAGGAGCAAAGGGAAAGAATCTCCAAGTGAAGGGATAGGTTGGAATGCCTACGAAGACTTTGAGAATCACTGCAAAAAAACTCCTTATGGTGAAGGTTCTAAGACATGGGATCATTTCTGGATGAGAATCCATAAGCAACTCATTGACTTGCACTGTCCTGAGATTGCTCAGCAGATGACTCCATCAGGATTGAGCCAGGAGTTTAGTGAGCAGTGAGCCGAGATTGTGCCACTGCACTCCAGCCTCAGCAACACAGCAAGACTCCATCTCAACAAGTAAAAATAAAAAAAGTATCTACCCAAATATGTCTTTTTGAAGATGAGAAAACAATTTTCTTTTTCTTTTTTCTTTTTTTGGAGACAGACTTTTGCTCTTGTCATCCAGGCTAGAGTGCAACGGTACGATCTTGGTTCACTGCAACCTCTGCCTCCTGGGTTCAAGAGATTCTCCCGCCTCAGCCTCCCGAGTAGCTGAGATTACAGGCGCACACCACCACGTCTGGCTAACGTTTGTATTTTTAGTACAGACCGGGTTTCACCATGTTGGCCAGGCTGATCACGAACTCCTGACCTCAGGTGATCCTTCCACCTTGGCCTCCCAAAGTGCTGGGACTGCAGGCGTGAGCCACCACACCCAGCCAAGAAAACAATTTTCAATCCTCTCTTTAATCTCAAAATAACTCTAATATAACTTTTCTCTGGATATCATAATTTTTGCCATCTACAATAAATGACCTTGTGTGTCATTAGCAACTAACCAACCTAACATCGCTTGGAATAAACAAAGCCTGTACTGAGAATTTTCATCATTCCTGTGTCACCCAGGCTGGAATGCAGTGGTGCAATCTTCTCACTGTAACCTCACATTTCTGGGCTCATGTGATCCTCCCACCTCAAGTCTCCCAAAGTGCCAGGATTTCACTGCGTCCAACCAAAAGATAATTTTAAAGGTAAAATTATAATTGCTGTGCAAATATAAAATGTACTCACGTCAGGGACTTCATTTAGCTGATTATCTAATGAGAGAACGAGTAAAATGTTGCAACTGATTCAAAAGAAATTCAAACAATAGGCAATAATGTAAAATGATTTTATGATATATGTAAGATAGGTTTATCCACAGGGCAAAAATGAATTGTATCCCACCAGACACGATTAGTTTGCATTTCTATGGACAACAATCAATTTTCTACAATTCACAGAGTTGTAGGCAGCCCTGAGACAGACAGGCTGAGAGAGCTTAGGAGCTGAGCTAGACAGATATACTTTCTCACCTTTTCAGTCCATTCCAGTATTGCCCAATTTTTTCCTATGCTAGTAAGAATTCATTCTTGAATTCCACAAATACTGAATAAATAAATAATAGTGATTCTACACAAACTCTTCCAGAGAACTGAAAATAGGAAGAACCACTTCCCATTCCCTCATTCTATGAGGCAAGCATCAAACTGCTATGAAAACAGACAAGAACATTAAAAGAAGACCATTGACCAATATTCCTCATGAACATAGACGCAAAAGCTCTCAACTGAATACACCAATATGTCAAAAAGATCAGACAACATCACCAAGTGAGGTTTATCCCATAAATGCAAAGCTGGTTTCACATTTGCAAATCAATCAATGTAGTTAACTCTATTCATAGACTCAAAAACATTATCTCAATAGACATAGAAAAGGCATTTGACAAAATCCATCATCCATTCCTAAGAAACTCTCAGCAGACTAAGAATAGATGGGTACTTCCTCAACCTGAAAAAGGGCATCTATGAAAAACATACAGCTAACATCATCCTTCATGGCGAGAGACGAATGCTTTCCCACTAAGGGCAGGAACGAGGCAAGGGTGTCCACTCTCACCGCTTCTATTCAACAGCGCACCGGGTGCTCCAATGGAGCAATAAGGCTTGAAAAATAAATACATACAGAAAAGGAAGGAAGTCATAAAACAAAGGAAAAAGTAAACTTTAACACTCACAGGTAACATGAGCAGCTGTGTGGGAAATCCAACGAATCTACACAAAGACTAATTAGCAAGAGTGGAGGATTCGGCATCAGTATACAAAAACAACTTTCTGCATTCAAACAATGAACAACTGAAATGGGAATTTTATTTTTTTTGAGACAGCATCTCACTGGAGTGCAGTAGCACGATCTCAGCTCACTGCAACCTCTGTCTTCTGGGTTCAAGTGATTCTCCTGCCTCAGCCCCCACTAGTAGCTGGGAT